TGGACCAATTTTTTTAAAAGCTACTCTCTTTCCTCTTTCCAATGAGCACTCGCCCAGACCTGTAGGACAAAAACTGAAAAAGATACAAGCAAAACTATTTGTTCTGGAAACCTTAAAAAAAGAGGAAAAGTTGAAAACGTCATTGACTCTAAAATCTGAACGGCTTGGAGCTCAGGGCTGGGCGAGTGCTTTTTGGAAACAGAAACACTATTCCTAATCAAAAATCATCACCCGATCAGTGTCAGAGAGGGTGCTGCCAGGCCGGGGCCGGCTTGAGGCGTTTCGTCCCTGTTACCTGGCCACTTGGCGGGCCTGTCCGCGGACACCAACAGCATCTGCGGCAGCAGCTCCCACCTATGCGCTGGCTCGTGCTCCAGCTTCCGCAGCGCCTCCCGCGCCCGCTTTGGCCCCCACTCCCGCTCCCGGTGGAGTTCCTCCCGCACCAGCCCGCCCTTACCTCCCCCCATGCTTGTAATTTTCTTCCTACCCTTTCACACACCGATGCCTTACTTCTGTTGCTTTCTCCAACCTCCACCGATTGCATCTTTACACAAGTCTGCGCCTGAATTTCTAGGAGAACTTGAATGCTAGCGTGGATGTTGGGATGAGCACCAGCAAACTGCCGATTAAAATCGGCGTGGAAGCTTTCGGCTCCATTCGTGGTTGACGGTAACTCGTCTGGTAGCCATGTCCACATAGAAAGCGGAAACCTGCAAAAAAAAGTATAAAAAAATCAAAATACTGTCAACATTTTTAAGGCATTGAATTCGGTACAGTATAAGCAACAACAAAAAAAATTACAGTGCGGATTGAGACTTACTTGGTTGTTTCTGTATATGTATCAAGTACATAATCCACAAACTTGTCGAACTCCTCTTCACAATCAGCAGGTTTTGAGTCATATATCTCCTGGAAGGCATCCCCTACCTCATCACAGGGAACACATGAGAGCCCAAAAAATCGCACCAGCCAATCCATCTCTTCGTGTAAAACGAAGAGACCGTTGGCATCGGTCACAGTTGGCTCGTTGTAAACGTTCCTCAACGTAGGGCAGTAGACCGTCTACCGCTTGCAAAAAGTTTCTTGAATTTTGGGGCCCCGGGTCTTAATCGATTCTTTATCGAAAAATAAGAGTTACGTGTCTCGGCGATTTTTGATTTCCGAAATATTAGACCGTGGGCCGCCCTCTTGAAGTTTTGACATTTTTTTCGATTACCAAAAGTTCTTCAAATGCTAATAAAATCAGCCCCAAGCGCTCAATTTAGACGGGACTAGTTTCTGTAGATTCAGGAAACACTAAAGAACAAGAAAATGCCCCCCTGAGCCTTCTGGGGGTGTGTTGCCTGTCCTCTTGAAATGGGCCAATTCAGTCAAAACGGCACTTTTTTCGATGTTTTCCGGCCTCTTGCATGGATTGAGTCGTCATCCGAGGACGTTTTAGTGGCCGAATAAGTTGGTATGATGTGTCTCTATGCAGGAATATCGGCGACCGATTTTTTTCAAAAGAGATTGCCTACTTTGTAGGGGAATTTGTGTTTTTCGAACTGACCGTTATTGGGAATATATGGTCAAAACCGGGCCGTACCGCTCTATTTCGATAAACGGTGAAATGTAATAGTCTAGTGCATCTCCGAACACCCCTTTCCGTAGATCCGCCAGATTGCCCACCCTCCAGGGGTGGGTAGCCATTAGGTATAAACGATAATTAATCGGGTTTCGTCACTTTTCAGTCAAATACCAACTGATTAGACTTTAAATATGTATGAAGAACACAAAGATTTCTAAAATCAATAAATTTATTGCTACAATTTAGTACATATACACATTGAAAGAAATTAGATAAGAGCAGCTTCTGAAAATTGATTTTTAAATTTGTTGATAGAAATTTCTAGAAATTTAGATATAGCTTGTTCCTGAGAGCGCGGAAGATTTGGAACGAGTTTCTTTCGCTTCCTGTATAAACTGCGACGAATCTTAAGTAGAAAAGAAACCGTCTAAATTACTAAAAGTATACAAACACTACAAATCGACAAACATCAGTACCTTACCAATTTCAAGTCGGAGGCCTGCAAGTTCTCGTATGACGACGAGCGTAGGTCCTGCCGAATAATTTTCATTGGTCTACAGTTCAAGGAGGCTTCCCCTTTCCTCTTGATTGTTGCCCTGCAAGCGTTTCTCTCCGTCTCCCTCGCCGTCATCTTCTTACAAGAAATCACACCCAACCATTTCTTTCAATTGCTTTTCCTCATACATTACGGCCCGACACTTGCAAGCTTTGTTGGTGCAGCTGAAAATAAAATAATACACACTAAAGCCCCCAGGTCCAGGCTGATGCAGGGTGCCCCGGCGCCAACCGTGATTACAATAACAAGTAGAGCATCTTACCTCCAAACTCGGCTATTCTCTCGCCCCTTTTTTTCTTGAAAATGTGTAGCCATTCACAATTAAAGAAGGTACCCCATGCCGAGGCTCCACAAAACACACGTCCCCCATCTCAATTCAAATGTCTCACTGTCACTAACTTTCACAATCACACGCACACAACCTGTCACCTGCTCTCTCTCCCGACTGACTGTTGATTAGTCTCGATTCGATGCGCGGGCGGAGGGGGATTGATTGATTGATTGATTGATTTTTATTTAAAGTATCGTACAATAGGACTAAAAAGTCCCGCTGGTAGTACAATACCGCTCTCTGGTTTGTTACATTTAAACAATCTCAAGCTTGAATCATAGTACAGAGTAAGCTAAACA